AATATTAATAACCTGAAATTACTTTCTAAAAAAAAAACCATAACAATTACAGTAAATATATAATAATTTTATACTTAATTAATATTATAAAATCTTGAAGTTAAGTTGTTAGAATTATACCGAATTTCGATAAGAAAAATCCCCACTTGTTAATTAAATATTTACTTTTCAACGAGTAATTCATGTTAAGCAGTCTTAAAAAATTAATTGGTTTTAAAACAAAAACAATTCAATAAACACATATTTTTTTATATAATAATAATAATATTTTACTGATTGCGAAAAATATTAATTTCTTTATATGTATTATACATATATTTAATTATTTAATTTATTAAAAATGTAGTTTCTTTAATACATTTAATAATAAACTTTATATGATGCTTGGTAATAAATTAAGACATATAATTATAGTAATTTATTAGATATAGCTTATGGAATATTTTAGATTAATATATGTTATTTACGAAATATATATAATATATTATAAAGTAAATATTTTCAAAAAGATGTTTTATTTTTATTTAATTTTATTTCACTTAATTTATATTGTCTGAAACAAACCAATGAGATACAATACAAAGCTTTTTAAATTTAATTTTAATTTATAGTCGTTTTTTTTTGTTTTTAATACAAACACTTAAAAGAATTTATTTGTTTTAAAAAATAATAAAAATTTTAAATAAATAATTTTAATTAACCTTCAGGGCTCTGACATATATTATGTATCAATTATTTTTTATATTCTTTAATTATTTTTCTTAGCCAAACATTATGCTCCATTATACTAAATATTGTATTAAATACAAATTAAATTACATAAATATAAATAGGTGTCTCTACAATTCATATTAAGTTAATTCTGTCGACGTTTAATATCCAGCTCTTTTTCCACCATTTGCGTAGTCTTCCCGGAGCACAAGCCTAGGTCTTAATTTATTTGTAACTTTGATGAGTAGTTCGTAAATTGTAAGAATAAGTAATAAACCCGTTTTCTTATTCTAATAACCTTCACAATGTCCATCATTTTTTGACGATTATCTTAATTTCTGATGGTAAATAAAAATTCGTCTGAGCACTGACTTAATAAGTAAGATTTCATCACTTCATATTCAAGTCTTTATTTCACAAACCCGGTAATCTTACCACTTGCGTATATTTTTCCTTGTCCTCTCTACAGTTCTAAAACTTAAGAATTCAACTGTGTAATCAGAATGTAGTCCTAGGCTGTCCAGACCAGAGCAGATCGCAGGCCCATACAAATTACTGAATAAATTACTGAATTACTGTTAGGTTGGAGAGCCGCAGAAATAAATATATATGCTCATATATATATATATATATATATATATATACACGAAAAATGTTTTATTTTTAATATAATGACTTACGGTTAGATACGAGTTTTTTTTTTGCCAATTCTAGAAAGGAATATATACTAAAGTCTTTATCAATTAAGTAAATTAACGTGAAGTGTAATAAAATGTTTAAAACATCTTAATTCATTTATTAGAAATATAATAAAAATAAAATAATGTGATGTTATCAAAATATAACAAAAAAACTTTGTCTACCTGTAGAAGATGTGCTATCCGCACATATATTAGCCGCAGATCGCATGATGCCCGTGGGTCGTGCTTTGGGTAGGCCTGATGTAGTCCATTTCAACAACGCATATCATATAAGGCAAAAATTGTAAGGCAGTCTTTTCAACCTAAGCAAATTTATATGTTTTTGTTAAAATAAAGAAGTTTTAGAAAAATGTATTAGTAAGATAAGAAGACATTTGTATATAAAAATGAACAAAATAGTCTACTAAGTATTAGTAGACCATAGATATCATGGTCTATCACGGTAAATATCGAAAAAACCTAACTCCTTTTTCAAACTAAGTAATCCTTACCTGAATGTAAGCCTATATATTCACTTGAGAACTTGTTTTTAGGTAGGAATATGTAAAATTACTGTTTCGAACCAGCTTACAAGACGGACAACCGGACATTACATATATGATTTCTAGTGAACAAAATATGTCACGAGCAAATAATGACAATAGATTGAAAACGGTTTCAATCCCACTGATTAAAAACATTTTTGACGTCAAAAATAATTAAAATATTTACAAGAAATGACTTGAAGAGTAAAATTTTTATAATTCATAATTAAAAAATTTGTTTTTATTGATTTTAATCTTGATGCATTCCTTTATCAGTGCTGGTCAAGTTCCATTTTTGACAACAACGCAACTACGATTCAGAGCACTATTAGGAGCTGTTTCAGTGAGATACAAAGTATCTCTTGCATCAATACGTGACAAAGGTTGAAACATCTATCTACTTTTATGCATCAGAATTAAAAAGGTCATTAGTTACCGAGATAATACCACGTTCCCACTGCAGCTAAATCAATTCATATTAAACATATTAAAATTTGGTTGTTTTCATTGGCGTTAGTTGATTTATATTTGCGAAAGAGCTTTTATATATTAACTAAAATGAATATTTTTTGTTAAACAATATATGATAATGTATTATGATATGAAACATACATTTGATATGTAAACTCATTTATAAATTTTTATATATCAATTAAATATTTTACTTATAAAAAGCGAACTTTTTAAAAAATTTTTACCTCTGGTTTGTTTGACTTTCTCGTTTTTTTAACATTTTATTTTATTTTTTAAATATGATAAATTTCCTCTTTGGGAAATTTATTTTGCATTGTTACGACATTTTTATTTTAATTTCCCTTGATTTATTCTTAACTAAGCTCGAAAGCTTGGAAGCTCTTTGTACGGTTAATCAACTTCATTAGCGACCTTAATGAAATGAACTGCTTTAATGAAGGCAATGGAAACATACTATAAGTCGTTCAAAGCAACCAAAACTTCAAAAGTTAGCCAACAAGGTTATGGCATTTATATTTTGAGATGTGCGTGGTAATTTATTTATCGATAAATAATTATTTATTGATACAAGTCAATAAAAAACAACAGTTAAATTAACAAACTTACACTTCGAATCGTAACCTGAATTGTTTGTTTCGAATGGTTGTATTGCAAAAGAACACCAAAAATTCAGAAAAAGTGTTGGAATAAATATATCTCTCTTAAAAAGTGTTATATGGACTAAACTAAAAACTAATTAAATAATTTGTCACATATTAATATCTTTGTGGTTGAGAACACTATTCCTTTTAACATAATAATGTCTAGTATTGTGACGCTTTCGAAAAAAATTTTTATTTTAAGTACTGATTTCAATAACAGTAGTTCCTCCATAGTAATCATACGGGTATGGAATCTATAAAATAATACTATTTTATTCAACGTTTGATCCACACACGTTAGAGTAGCTCATTTCTAGACTTCTGAAAAACTTTCTTTATTATTTATTCAATTGCGCCTCGGGGACTTGAAGAAGTCGATATGAATCCTTATCTATAATATTACAATATAATGTTAAATATGTAATTTAATTAGTTAAATCAGAGGGTTTGGTTCTCTTAAGCCATCGTACGAGGTCTTCTGTCTGAAGGAATGCTAAAGCTTTTGTTTTGCAGTAAACTTCTAAGTCTTTTTTTATATGCTTTAGCCTGAAAAATTGATTATATCTATAGATTTGTTTAATTGATTCATAAAGGAGTTTAATAAATTAATTTTATTAAATTTTAAATAATAAATTATAATATAAATTTGGTTTTATTAAGATTTGTGGTTTGGTTTAGTTTGGATCATATCATAATTTCCTGGTATTAAGCATTATTTTCCATGAAAAACATATATAAGAATCACAATTCTGTTGCTGATAATACACTTCAGTCGGGATAGGATAGACGTAGATGATGTATAGCATGACATTTAATTTTTGGTATATATAATGTTTTTCAAAGTTTCTTCAAATGTAATCGAAAGTTTGACACATTTTTATGGGCCGGCAATCGGTGCTGTTGGTTATTTCATCTATAACATTTGCACATTCTTTGGTGTATGTCTTCATATACAAAGTTTATTGGCGATATATAATATATACGAATTTTTATGATTTTTAACAAACTAAATTCTTAATAGACTTTTGAAATACTTCCAGTACTCTGGTAGGATACTGGCATTTAAACATTTTTATAGCCCGTATATAGTTTGTTTGGACTAATTAAGAAATTCGAATATTTCTTAAGACCACTGATGATAAGTACTTGGCAATACTCGAAACAGCGTTGCATGGTCAGCCAAATTTCAATAAATTAAATAAAATTTTTGTCCTTGTTTTTTCTTTGCTATTCGAATCCGTCTAACTGATAGTTTCTGTTCGTCATAAAGACGCGTCTCCCTTGGCAAGAAAAAATTAACATTAATAAAATATTTAATTGATATACTTAAATTCAATGAGGAACCAGTTCAGTTTTCTTTTGAAATATATAGGTAGTAACTCTTTAAAATTGATAACGTATTTAATAATGATTTGAATTGTAACTCAAATACACTATATTTAATTATATTTATTTCTGTTTTAAGTATCATTCTCATCTCTATCTGACAATTTTATTGCACTTCAAATAGTCAGTTTAATATAGTATATCCCGCCAATATTCTGAGAAGTACTTGACACTTGATAAGATTTAACTTATCTTATAAATATATTGCTTCAAGAACTGCTTATAAATTAGTTAAATCAATATATTCTGTATAAACAACTATAGTTTGATAATTTTTTACATTTGCTTTCTTCACTTTTCTTAAGATTTATGGGTTTCGGTATAGGTAGTTAAGATATTTATTATTGTATAGTTGTTTCTCGTAGATTTTGAAGTGAAAGAAATTCGATAAGAAATCCGTTGTACGTGTGTAACTACTTTACTGGACTTGAAAATGAAATTCAAAAAATAAAAAAATATATAATATAGAATGAATATATTATGTCTGTATACAATATAATAATCGTAAATATTGCTATTTAAGAAGAGTATCTACTTAAGATAACCATAGTGAGTTACTGTTTTTACTCACGTATAAGACTTTCACTTGTTTTTTAGAAGGCTTGACGTTAACACTCATTTTACGGACGAATAAGTGTTTTATTTTAGTATTGTAGGATCGCAAAAGTGAGTCTGAATATTTTTTTTTAAATTAGAAATTATAAAAAATATATAAATATATTACAAACAAAAACTAAAAATAGTGTAGTCAACACGTAAAATTTTTTTATAATATATCTAATCAAAAATTAAAAAAAAATATATTTTAAACGTTGAGAAATAAGAACGCAATAATAATTAAATAATATATAATCATAGATAAATCTCAATACAGACATAATTAATAAAGATTCAAAATTTATAAATATCTAAAATTTATTTAATATATAAAGTACATAATAATATAAAACAATATATAAAAATAGAAAATTATTTAAAAATGCATGAAAGACAAAAATAACAAAAATTAAAATTATGATAATTATAATTACAACATAAAAGTTTCTTTTATTAATATTACTAGGTAATCACATTTTTTTAGTTTTTTATAAGTGTACTCTAAATTCAAAACAAAAAAATTTAATCTTACGACTATATGGTATACATTTTTTATTTACAGATAAATGTACTAAAAATTATGTAGAAATAAATATTTGAGACTAAAAAATATTCTAATAAAAAATATTCTAATAAAAAATATTCTAACAAAAAATTATAATAATTATACTAAATTCATTTATTTTATTAAATAAATTTTAATAAATAAATTTTATTAATAATTTTTATTTTAAAATAAAATTTTATTAAAGAATTTTTTCGAACAGTAGTGAAATACAACAACAAAAATTTTATTTTTTAAATTATTTTAATTAATTAAATTTTTGGCTTACCATATAGCTGTTTCGAATATTGCCAAATACCCATAATCAGTGGTCTTGGAAATAATTCTTGTATTTAATTATTCGTAAATAATTTTTTGGTTTTTTGGAGACTGCAAGTATCAGGAATCGAACTCGGGTCCTGCCAAATGAGAATCTCAGAATCAGAAATTTTATTTTAATAACAAATAAATGATAATAAAGGTTAATAAGTTTTTATCTGATAATAATGATAATAATGTTAGTGTTAAGTCAATATATTGTATTGTTAGGGGATGTGGCACTGCGACCGTCGGATCTATTGTACTCAAAATATTGTATTAATAATTGTTAATATTTAAAGGAAAAAATCGGTAAAAAAAAGTAATCAACAAACTTATATTCGAAGCTTCTAAATTAAAAATTTATTTTATAATTAATTTACTTCGAACTTTTTATTATTTTTTTTTTATATTATTACACTTTTTTATTTAAAAAAGTTAATATTTGAAATAAATTGTTGCATTATGTAGAAGTAAAAATTTTTATTAAAATTGCTGAAATCTATTAAAAAAAATAATCAATAAATTTTTTTTGAAAGATATATTCGAAGCTTTTAAATTAAAAATTATTTTTTTTTTTAACTTTTTGTTATTTTTTTTATATTATTACACTATTTCATTCTAAAAAAGTTAATAATTCAAATAAATTATGGCATTGTAAAGAAGTAAAATTTTTTTTTAATTTTTTGCACATAAGAACATTATAAAGGATTTGTTAAGAATATTAATTAAAAACTGAAAATTATTTCCAGTTTATTTTAACTTTTTAACTTTTTAAAACGTGATCGGATTATTTTATTTGTCAATTAAATGATTTGAAATACTTCAAAACAAAAAAAATTTTTTTTGAGAAACAAGCCTTGGATTGCCTTACAATTTTAATTAATTACGAATATTTTTTTAAGTAAGCTATTGACCTTTAAAAAAAATTTTTATTGCTTTAATAACAAATATTGTGAACTTTTAAATTTCACAAAAAAAAAAAAACAAAAACAAAAACAAAATAAACACATTTTAATTTAATTTAATTAAAAAATAAATTTTTGATAAATATGTGATAAATGATTTAGCTATATCCAATTATCTTAATTTAATAAATAAGGTAATTTGATAATAATTTAATAAACAATTCTATATTGTTCACTTTAACAATTCTGAGAATTGTGTATTTTTTAAATCAATAAAGTATAATTAAAATGCACGTACATATAACAACACATACTTCACATATAAAAAATAGTTAACATGCAAAGTAATGTATAAAAAAGAAATAATATAAATTTATTTAATAATATATATAATATGAAATAAGCAATAATAATAAAAAAAAAGTATTAAGCATATATAATAGTAAATATCCTATAACAAAATATTGTTTTAATTACAAAATAATATTATTTATATATTAAAATAAAATTTAGATACATTTAAAATACACGTATATCTGAGAATACACACTTTACATATATACGATATATAATAAAGGACATTGTATAATATATTAAATGCAATAACACAAATTTTTTTTTGTTATATATTTTATATATTTATTTTTTATATTTAATTATTCGTAAATGGAGAGGTTTCGAAAAGTAGTGAACTACAACAACAGAAATTCTTTTTATATTATTTTAATTAATTAAATGTTTGGCTGACAATACAGCTGTTTCAAATATTGCCGAATATTTATCATCAGTGGTCTTTGAAAATAGCTTGAAAAAGCTTAAATAGTCCATACATACTTTTTACAAGTTACAAGTGTCAGGTATTACACCTGTACAAATTAGAACCGTGGACTCAGGTGTATAGTATATAATTGTACTACAGCATTTGATTACAAATAAATAAAAAATTTTAACTAAAAATTAATTAATTTTAATTTGTTCCATAACGTAGAATTAAATATAACAGGAACCATGAAACAGTCACAAATCATAACAGTTATTCGCTAAATATCCATTTAGTAACCATATTTGTTAAGCTATGTATAGTACAGTATCTATCTACGTATGTAATGTCTATGTTATATAGATAACTTCAAATTAAGTGGTAAAATGGAATCATTTGCACCAACATAAATCGAGTGTTTATCATCTGTTAATTAATTTAAAAAAAATTAAACCCAAAATCGGTAGCAAAACAACCCTTATAATTGTTAACTGCATAAGGAAACCGTTAATTTTTTTTATCTCTACCAAAAAACATAATAGAAGAAAGAAGAAACTCTAATCTAATGTGTAGTTGCCTCTATTACCTGCCCAGACCCCGCACAATAATTCCTGGAAAACCCAACTTCGAGAACCCTATGCATAATGACATTATCTACCATAAGAGTTTGATTTTTTTGTATGTGTTTTAGTGAAAGAGAATCTGTATGGAAATTGTGTTCAAAGTTTTTCTATAACATTTGTTTTTACCGATAATGACTATTTCATAATTCCCAGACTTTTTTCCATACAAAGTATGTTTCAATCTACAATCTGTGAAAACAATGACATTCAAAATCTTTTAAAATTTATATACCATAAAGCAACTACTATAATGATTCATATTATTTGTATATATAAAAAACGTGACGGCATAAAATTATATTAAATTTGTCAGGATGTTTTTTAAGTATCGCAGGGTATCATTGGACATAGTGCAAGTAATTTTAATTAACTCATTGAAACTATCGTCTGTCTATATATTTGCCTGCAAGTTATAATAAAGAAGCTATCCATATAGAAACTTTCAGCAATACTTTTTAATATGTCATCTATATTATTGTATTATATATATTATATATTGAATATTATATATTGAATATTATATATTAATATTATGTCTTCTATATTGGAGATTTTGTAAAGTTAATTTATTCCGAATCAACTCGTTAAAATAAATTTATCTACACATATCTGCTTATGCCTCATATCGATATATGCCTCTATGCAAATAGACAGAGATAGTATATATAGTATGGAGATAGTATAGAAATAGTATATATATTATATAGCTATAAATTATATATTAATTTTATGTCTCCTATATTGATGACTATGTAAAGTTAATTTATTTCGAATTATCTTGTTAAAATAAATTCATCTACAGATATCTACATATCTTGTTTTGTCTGTTAGTCTGTGATTTTAAATAGTATATATTTTATATAGTTTTATATATTATATATTAATATTATGTCTTCTCTATTGGAGACTACGTAAAGTTAATTTATTCCAAATTAACTCATTTTAACGAGTTAACGAAATTCATCTTCACATATCTGCTTATGTCTCTCTGTCTATTTGTCTGTGATTTTAAATAGTATATATATTTTATAGAGATATATATTATATATTGATATTACGTCTTCTATATTGGAGACTATGTGAATTTAATTTATTCCGAATTAACTCGACAAAATAAATTCATCTACAGATATCTGCATATATTGCTCTGTCTATTTGTCTGTGATTTTAAATAGTATATTTATTATATAGTTATATATTATATATTAATATTATGTCTTCCATATTGGAGATATTTTCCTTTACACTACCTATTCATGTATTTTTACTTTTTAATATTTACGTTTACTTAAGTAGTTTTTTTTTTAATTTAATTATTATTATAGAGTTAAAAAAAAATAATTAAAATTACAATAAATTATAAAAACAATTGCAGCTAACAGTTAGTAATAATTGCTTTAGACAGTATTTGATCTAATGAGTTAAAGGTAAATATTTATTACGTGTTTAGATTGTTTGTTCTCATTACATGTTTTTTTTTATTAGTTTATTGTTTAATAACATATAATTTTCTTTAATTTAAAATGACATTTATTTTTTGCAGTGTCTAAATATAAAATCTAATATCTTTAAATGAAATCTAAATAGCAAAGTATTATTTGTACGTGATTGTATTATGTTTTATTTGGAAACTATATCGGAATACAAGTTAAAGCCATTGTAATTATGACTACTGAGAGTTTCGAAAAAATATCCTCGACTATTGTTTATTACAGAACTAAAGATAATTTGGTACCAGGAGCTCTTATAAAATTAAAATCAATAAAGTCCTTCAAATCATCATGTGGTCGGTATTCCCTTGATAAGAAAATCTGTCCTTTAGTTTTTCAAATGCGACTTAAAAATATATAAAAAAAATTTTAAAATTTCATTAAATAAATTAAATACTTTGATCATAAAATATTTTAAATATATAAGTGATCTTTGAATGATTGCAAATAACCTAGGAACTAATAGACAATTTTGAAATTTGAAATTGTATTTTTATATACCTATGTACTCGTAATAAATATACATTGTCTCATAGAAGTTAACAATTTTTTATGGAAATTTTATATGAAGTTGGGTGTTGTAGTGGGCGGAATATTATGAAACATTTTGACCTTTAGTGATATAGCACAAGTGTTTAATATACCATATTTCTACCTATTATAGTTTTTAAGATACTCAAAATATTGAAAAGTTTATCTGGTTTGTATCAGAATTTGGAGAAGGCTCAAGTGAGCCGATTGAGTTCAAAATACATTCAATAACAAAGCTAAAATCAAAAGCTATATTCAAGGAGTTATTTGATTTCACTATCTCTACTGGTTGAGAAAATTGCCTTACATCGGTAAATTTATTTTCCGAAAAGTCTAAGCTGGCACGGTATCATCTCAAGTGAATGCAAAGATCCTTGGTTGACCTTACTTATGCATATATTTACTAATAGATGTACTTACTATATTTACTTATTTTGAAACACTTATATATATAGATATATATATATATATTTTATACAAACTAGAGTACGAAAATATAAAAAATATATATAAATATCTCTACTCAACATTAGTTCCTTATTTTTGAATATTTATAATAATTATATGTTTTTTTTGTTAAATTTTCAGTCAAAAAATATGAAATTGTTCCTTATAGCCTTCCTGGCAACATTGGCGGTAAGTTCAATCATTTTTATTCTTTAAATACAATTAGGAATAATATAAACTCATATATATCCGATGATGGAATCCTGAAAATTAATGTTATTTCAATTTGTGTAACTAACAGTTTTATCTTCTAAAAAAGTAATTAGATAAAAATTTCAATTACTATCTCTTATTAAACTCTACTATTTTTTTAAAAAATTGTTAAGGCTTCAATTATATAGAATATAATTTAAATATTTTAATTTTTGACTTATATTTCAATTCTATTATATTGATTTAAATTTAGTTTGTTGAAAAATTATTCTTCAAAGTAAAATAATTTCCAATATTTTTGCAACTTGGTTAAATAATTTTTAGTGTATTAATTTATTTATTGCTACATTATTTATAATATGCTTTAAGTATGCTTATGGCATGCTTTAAGATAGTAGTATTTATCATATAGCGTGAGTATCATTTACTAGGTTGCACAACATATGTTGGGCCTACAATATACGTACCAACACCTAGCTAAAGATTTTTAACGCATGTGTCAAATCGGTATGCCTATATGGATTGTAAACCTGGCTTGCTAACTCCGCAATCGAAAAAAGACCTCAAAAATTTATTAATCATTGCCTGCGCAACATATCTATTTAGCATATGGTGGCCTAAAATGGTTTCAAATGAAGAGTTATAGAGAATAACGCACCAAACAAACGTAAACAACGATATAAGAAAAAAGAAGTATGGTTAGATTGGACACAAACTGCATAAGCCTTATAAAGATATCACGCATGCTGCACTTACTTGGAACCTCTAGGGAACTAGGCGCAGAGGCAGACCAGCAATGACCTGGAGAAAGACAGTTCAGCAGGAGACAGGCAAATCGTTTATCGGATTAAGACCAACAGCCCAAAATAGAAACCAGTGGAAAACTTTTGTAGACTTCTTAAGCTTTTAATGAAGTATAGAAATAATAATAATATATCATATAATAGTGGTCTTTATTAAGTTTTTAAACTTAGTTTAACTTATTCATAAAATAAGATTATATTGATATCATAATTATTACATATATTATAATATCCTTAATAGGTAATTACAAATGTTTATTCTAAGAGCCGTAATCTAATATAAAATATAACTCGGATTAGATATAGTACATTAATATACATCATGATACTCATTCGTCTCTTCCTTATTCTTTTCAACAAATTATAGCTTGTTCAAGCTGCCTCCAAGGAAGAAATTGCTGCTGCAGAATACCTAGATAATTTGAATAAAGAGATTGCAAAACGCACCAATATTGAGACAGAAGCATCTTGGGCATATGCATCAAATATTAACGATGAAAATGAACGTAAAAAAAATGAAATCTCTGCTGAAGTTGCAAAATTCATGAAGGAAGTGTCAAAGGATATACAAAAGTTCAAGTGGCAGTCGTACCAATCAAGCGATTTACGTCGTCAGTTTAAAATGCTCTCTAAATTGGGATATGCTGCTCTACCCGAAGAAGACTATGCTGCATTTTTAGAGATCATGTCAACTATGGAATCTAATTTCGCCAAAGTACGTGTTTGTGATTATAAAGACTCCACCAAGTGTGATCTATCATTAGACCCAGAAATTGAAGCAGTTATTACTACTAGCCGTGATCCTGAAGAGTTAGCCTACTACTGGCGAGAGTTTTACGATAAGGCAGGCACGGCAGTACGCACACCCTATGAAAGTTATGTAGAATACAATACCAAAGCAGCCAAGCTAAATAGTAAGTAATTTAATTAAATTTAATAATGAATATTGATTAACATTTCATATTTTTTAATAAATTCTTTTCTAGACTTTACGTCTGGTGCTGAACTGTGGTTAGATGAATATGAAGATGAAACAATTGAACAACAGCTTGAGGATATTTTTGATGAAATTCGTCCACTTTACCAAGAAATACATGGTTATGTGCGTCATCGTTTGCGTGCATTCTATGGTGATAAAGTAGTCTCTGAAAAGGGACCAATCCCAATGCATTTATTAGGTAATATGTGGGCACAACAATGGTCAGAAATTGCTGATATCGTATCACCGTTCCCTGAAAAACCGCTAATTGATGTTACTGCTGAAATGGTTAAACAGGGTTACACTGCAACAAAAATGTTCGAAATGGGTGATGATTTCTTCACTTCGATGAACTTGAAAAAATTACCGCAGTGAGTATTGATTATTTATGTGGGTTGATGCTATTGTTTTTTTAAAATTTTTAACTTTATTAGAGATTTTTGGGATAAGAGTATTTTGGAAAAACCAGATGATGGACGTGATTTAGTTTGTCACGCAAGTGCTTGGGACTTCTATTTAACTGATGATGTACGCATTAAGCAATGTACTCGTGTTACACAGGATCAATTCTTTACAGTACATCACGAATTAGGACACATACAATACTTCTTACAATATCAGCATTTACCATTTGTCTATCGTACCGGTGCCAATCCTGGTTTCCATGAAGCGGTTGGTGATGTGCTCTCACTTTCTGTCTCTACACCAAAACATTTGGAACGTGTGGGTTTGCTAAAGAACTATGTTCGTGATGATGAAGCACGTATCAATCAATTATTCTTGACTGTAAGCGTGTTGCCTAATACTTCTAATTATCAATTATATATAAGTAATAAGATATGTATTTTTTTAAGGCTTTGGATAAAATTGTTTTCTTACCTTTTGCTTTCACTATGGATAAATACCGTTGGTCATTATTCCGCGGGCAAGTTGATAAATCCAATTGGAATTGTGCTTTCTGGAAGTTACGTGAAGAATACTCTGGTATTGAACCACCAGTTGTACGTACTGAAAAAGACTTTGATGCACCAGCTAAATATCATGTCTCAGCTGATGTTGAATATTTGAGGTAAAATAATTACAGAATTAAATTACACTTTACCATATTATCAATAGAAACCGAGTGTTTGAGATATTAGAGAGTTATTTGTTGGTAGTTTTATATATGGTTTTCTAGCGATAAGTAAAGATAATCTATATTTCTTATTTTAAGTTTTTCTGTCATTTCAGCGTTTTCCCTTTTTTTTATAACTTTATATATTTGATCACTCTTCTACGAGCATATACGTCAGAAATATATCTAGATTATGAAAAAATCAGGGTAATTGGCGCAGTGCTTATTGTGTTTCCTTGTGTAGTATTGAGTTTTTGTTTAACATTATTTTTTGAAATAAGACAACATCTAAGAAATATTCAGAACTTCGAATAGATATTGAAAATAAAATCAAAAACAAAGCCATATTTTTTCCGGATCAAAATCTGGCCGGATCGAAAAGAATGTTGGACTGATATATTTTTTTATTAAAGCGTAACGTAAATTGAAACGAAGAAAACTCTGGTTCAAAACTTTAGAAATATTATAAGAAGTCATCCAAATTTTGATAACTGCCCTGGCAGTGTGATTAGACGCTCTAATGAGTATCAATAGAACACAGAAAAAGCTTTACCGATTTTTGTATGATCGTAAGTTTTGTAATGTTTAGAAGGGATTTTGTAAAAAAGTAATTAAACTTCTTTTTTATATTTTTTGTCTATTCAATTATTCATAATAATAAAATGCTTCATACAAATTTATTTTTACATTGCCTCATATTTTATATGTTGGAATCTGCGCGCTACATTAGTTGTATTAACGATTTCTTCAATATCATTATATACATAATGCTCTTAAGACGTTATAAATGAACGGATACAATTTTCCTTATTAAAGAATCAGCTGTGTATCACGATAAAGGTCAGACATAAACACACTTTTATAACTTATATATTTGTCTAATAGCTGATGTTGTTTAAACCTGTTATCTCTGTAAGACTCTAGTCAATTCTTCTGCTTTATTACCAATAACATATAAAACCGTATCATCAACTATTGAAGTGAACTTAAAACTTCATATATATATATATGATATATATCTATATATTTCAAACATCTTAATGGATAGCCTCTTGTTTTATACAAAAGATAGACCTAGGTAAGATTGAAAGGGTGCCTTTAGAAACGAACATCAGTACTTCCACTGGCAGGCAAATATTGTCGATTGTAATGCCAAATCACACAAGCCATTTTTTTCTAAAATTGTTCCTTATGTTATCTTTGCTTACCTATTTGTTTATCCAGATGAAGTTAAGCAGTCTAGAAGGTCTACTTGCCGTATATCTATTAAGGAAATTAAGAAACCGGCGCTTAGACATTTATTATGTATTGTTCGACAAATTTCAGTTCCTTTTTATCACATGGTAACTTCTGCACAGTTCACTTGTTGAAACACACCAACACTGAAAGATTGGTGCAATGGCACTGTATCTCCTTGTTATTCCAATAAGCACAGGAAGTACAGATTTAATTTTCTTTCTGTCTTTATGATTAGTCCATGATTTATTCGTTACTACAATGGTGAATTCATCAACGTTCCTAAATAGTTCTTAGGACGGCCTTTATATTAAGTTGTCGGTGCTATATATATATTTTTTTGTCAATTTCGGAGGCTCTTACAGCCATCTCATCAGTTAGTTAGTTAGTCCATGATATATTCGTTACTACAGTGGTGAATTCATCAACGTTCCTAAATGATTCACAAGACGGTCATAGTATTAAGTTGTCGGTGCTATATACCATATTTATATTTTTGTCAATTTCGGAGACTCCTTCAGCCACCTCATCAATTCATTGACTTTGATATCATTGTGACCAGAAACTTTACAAAAACAGAGCGTGTGATGTTCATTATTCATTATTGAGGCATTATATTTCATTGAAATGATTAATTTTAATATTCTGCTTTTAATTGTCTTTATTGCTGGCTCAATATTTATAATGACAGACATTGATGTTCAAAGGTTGAATCGTTCTAACCTGTATTAACCTCTCTGATGAAGCATCTGCTGCTCTTGATTGCTGTTTGATTTTTGTTTATTTTTAGCATAATGTTTAATTTATATTTTTTAGATTTTTTTTAATTTAAATAAGTTTTGTACCATTAATAAATATTTCTATAACTTTTCTACAATGTTTAGATATCTTGTTTCGTTCATCATTCAATTCCAATTCTACAAATCAGCTTGTATTAAGGCTGGTCAATATGATCCTTCTAACACGGAATTACCTTTGGATAATTGTGATATTTATGGCAGTATTGAAGCTGGTGACGCTTTCCAGTAAGTAACTTAAGAATATTAATTAATTTTAATTTAATTTAACTTACTTTTTTGCAGCAAAATGCTTTCATTAGGTGCATCTAAAGCATGGCCCGATGCACTTGAAGCTTTTAATGGTGAACGTACTATGACCGGTAAAGCTATTGCAGAATATTTTGAACCATTACGCATTTGGTTGGAAGCAGAAAACAAAAAGAACAATGTGCACATTGGCTGGACTGCCTCAGATAGTAAGTTCCACTTAATAATTATCATAAATGATAAAATTCCTAAATTTGATATATTCTTCTCTTAATTTTTCTAGAATGCGTTGCTGCGTAAGAGATGTTACGATTCGAACAGTTTCATTTCGTTTTAATCATAAAATTATTTTAACACTGATTTTTCATTTAATTATTTTTGATTAGCAAAATTATTTAAATTACAGTATTAAAGATTTTAATACAAAAAAAAAAAAAAATAAATAAAATTGTTTTTATTATTTTGTCATTTTGCATTGAAATAGTATTCAAAATTTAGAGCACCTAATAAGAATTACACCAACATAAGCCATCAATCCAACACTGTGTGTTAACCAGTCCTTGGTTATTAATCGCATATATTTTTGATTTGGTAGCAATTTTTGGTCTTAGGTATCCTTCTAAAATTCCATTGCTTATCGATTTAAAATATTTGAAGAGATAGATTGTTGAGTCTGTATAGAAGCAGACGAGACTTCAAGTCACATTCTCTGTGACTGCCTAGCCTGGATCTGGACCAGAAAAAGATCACTGGGTCAAGAACTACTTTCCCTTTCTGATAGTGGAACGTTCTCAACGGCTGATGTTCTGGCTTTCATTAGGAAGATGGAATATCTTTTTTTCGGTTAGGGTCTGTTGCAACACAAAAGATCAACCATGGTCGCAGTGCTCCGCTCCGTTTGGCGTTTTTTACCCTGTTTATTATTATGTTGAGGCTAGTTGAGTCAGTGCACCTGACAACTTTTACTCTCTATTTACTGCGAGGTTTCTTCGAAACCCCTCTTTGCGCCTTGATTGGATTATTGTTTATCACTTCATCAGACTAAGCAATAATTGACCTCAGATCTGCATACCTCCCCGAGGGGCCAGTCACCATACTGAGATTTGATAACGCGGTGTTAGTAAGTCTGTCAGATTTCGCAAATAATTTCAGAGCTCTATCCTTTATGTATTTTTTTATTGAAATCAATCTTGTGGTCCCTGAGGATGTCATTCGTTCTAATGTACGTGATTGAAAAAATTATTACACACAAAATATATACCTTTAAACCGACATATTTTGTACATTTTGCCAAAGACCCGAACCTTTTGTGAACACAAACGATACGCATTGGTTTCTGTTGTTAAGAAACCGTGTCTATATCGGTGCAATACAAAATTTATGTAATTGAAGTCATCACAACCAATTAAATAAGATTAAATATTAAATTAAAGTGTGCTGGGCATGTGCTTATTAGAGACAAAATCTCCATTCAAGGTAAGGGTAAAGTTGCCGTATATAAAATGAATCCTAATGAAAAAAGACTTCAGAAAACCGAAATTAAATTAAATTAAGAAATTAAAAATGTGCAATAAAACATTTTGAAAACATATTAATATATCAAATATATAGAATTAAGCATGCTATCAATAACCAAAATCAAACCTTTAAGAGTTTGAAGTAGAAATTAAAAAGTTGTATCTTAAATTTGTTGACACAATAAACCACACATAGCAAAAAATCATAGGTAATCCATAGAAACAGAAAAAATGAAGACACTGATTTCAGATTACGAAATATAAAACGATCAAGATTCAAGCTAACAATTATAAAGGCCATTATCAAGTAATTATAATATAATTATAGTATATCGCTTGGTCTTTTTAGGGTAAAATGATAAAGGTGTTAAGTCTATAATAATTGCTTTAAAGGATACTATTTTTAACATCATTTTTTTGCTTCTTCGAACTAAAGCTTACAAGCGTGAAAGGCAACTATCTTCTGCACTAGTTTAACTTTAAAATTAATTTTATCTAATTTTATTAACCAGAGCTAGTATGTTTGAAACTCCAAGTTCGAACATACAAGTGAAGTACGGTTTTGGGTTAGTTGCTTAATGAACACTGACTCTGATTTTAAAATTTGGTAGGGCACGAGTTCAACCTTTGGTACTTGCAGTCCCAAAAAATTGTTTACAAATAATTAAATATAAGAAATAATTCCAAGACCACTGATGATGGGTATTTGGCAATACTCGAAACTGCTGTATGATCAGCCAAAAATTCAATTAATTAAAATAATACAAATATAATTTTTGTTGTTGTAGTTCACATTTAATAGAAACCTCTCAATTAAAAAACTATAGTTTCTATTAAAAGTGCAAATAGTCTTTCTTATTTAATTGGCCATTATAGACGTGGGTCGTCCTTGGCCGCGTTGAGTAGCCTCCGCCAGTCATCCCAATCAGTTGCGAGCGCCCCAAATCGTTGGTCACGTGATCCTTCTATCGACAACATGGACGTCTTCTACCGCGTTTTCCACATACGAGTACCGAATCAAATACTTTTCTAGCCGGAGCACTAGAGTAAAAATAGTCACTAAAAATAAAATATTCTTTCTGAACTCATAATGGTATTGGATAAGTACCACTTCCACTGTAGTCTAAAGTGATTACGCTAAAATTACTGAAAAAACCTTGTCGTATATGTGCTTATTCGCTTATATTCTTTTTTAGCTTGCCAATACTCTTCGTATGTGATGTGGGTTCTGCTTATTATTTTTCGGCGACTCATGATTGAACTTAAATATTTCATATTAAGCGAGCACTTGTACTATGTATATTATAATACCATTATGACCTCACGAATCTTATCTCACGAGTCTATATCATTATTTTTTGCTGTCCGCTATTGTGTTTTTTTTTTGTTTTATAGGTTCCGAAATATTTTCGTTGGGTATTTTAGCTTATCTGTAGCTTCTTATTCCTACAAATATCCCTCTAAACGTTTTATTTAACTCGGTTGGATACATAGATCTGTAAAAAAAGGGGTCACAAATTATTTTGTAGTAACAGGTTGAAATTCTAATTTTTGTACAACTACATATACTATAAATATACAACTACAAATATTTTTTATTAATTTGATTTTACATAATTGAAAAGAAATTTTTTGCTAAAAAAATTTTTAACTTCCAAAATCTTTCAATCTTAAATATAGATGTCTATTTCTTTTTACGCTGCTTTATTTTAGCATTTTCCAGTGTGGTCTAGTTTATTTCTGTTCCAGTTGTCAATTAAATGTTTCACCAATTATTCGGTTTCCGGTTTTGGATTTTTCATTTTTTTAAAAACCCTATCCAGCAAGAAATGTAGAATTTGTAAATTCCAATCGTTAATTACTGAATATTCAGGATTCCCAAATCAGGATTCGTAAATAATAAAAAGGAGATCATATACTTAAGACTATAGGAAGAAGCTTATTTAAGGGGATTTTTGGAAAGCTCATATAATTTTAAATTTAAATAAAAAAATAAAATTGAAACAAATTAATATCATATGATTGTGTTCTTGAAAGAGATGGGTTAAACAATTATTTATAAATATTATACTAGAGGTCTACCACAGGTCTACTTCTCAAATTGAGTTTGTTTTCAGATTTCCTCTCTGTAACACTTATAGTCAATGGTTAAACATAAACATATGCCAATTGACAAAATGATAATAACCTTAATACGTACCCCTGGGAATATAATTTTATTAATTTTTCTTTAAAAAAAAATCTATTGCAATTAACTCAATCGTTTCAAGCAAGGAACTACTAACGGACCCGTACCCCAAAATTTATTAATGGGTAGTTTGATATAATTTTAATAATATATAAAATATTTTATTTTTTATTTATTCAATAAACAGTCATCATGTATTGATAATATGTATGAACGTGTATATATAGTATATAGTCAGTAAAATAATTTTTGGGGGCTTGAGAAGTTAAACCAGCTTTCGTGCGAGGCTGCAGAATTTCGAGCTCACAAAAATATAAACAAAATGGAATTTTAATTAGAAATTTTATGATATATATAATTGGAAATGGTAATTATTTAAATGTAAAACAATGGTACTGGAGCTTTTTTATTTATTTGTTAAATTTATTCTTTATTTCACCCATCAGAATGGTACTACTCTTATTAAAATATTGAAATCTATAAGATTTCAATATTTTATTAACTAAATTAGAATTACAACTTATGGCTTTAAACCACTACCATCAGTCATGGGATTTTCCATCTGACTTCATATAGTTGTTATTATGATTATATTAAATTATTTTAAAACACTACATTAAATAGAGTATAGACTTTTATAGATGTGAAAATTTAAGGGTTTTAAGAATTATAAAATTAATAAAAAATTATTATATTTTGCATATGTGCACAATAAAAGCATTTTTATTTTCATTTTAATATTTCTAGACATTTTCAAACTTTTCTTTATTTTGTTTTATGGAGTTTACTTATGGAGTACCATAAGTACCATAGATACATTCTTTTTTAATATATAATAATTCATCGAAAAAAAGGAATTGTCTTTTTTTATTGCTTGTTTTCAATGAGTGTGGAATAAGATGGATGTATTACGAAAAACTAATGATCGATGATTGACATATTTTATTATAGCTAAAACACTGCTCATATTTATTGCATATTTATGATAATTTGATCGAGCTCTACAAGTTCCAGACCACTTTTTAAATTAGATTTTTTTAAATTTTCTAAGTGTATTTTATACATAAATCTAATAGTTTTCTAATATTTATAAATGAATTTATTTATTATTAGTTAAAAATAATAATAAAATCAGTACAAAAGATCTTTTATAAAGCTCTGACCCACTGGAACTTTAAATTCGTATTATATTGTAATTGAAAAGTAGCTCCTATCCACTACAAAGAATATTATCAGTAATAATACTTTTGTACTGATATTATCAGTTTATCAATTTCAGGCAGTTCAGGTGTGACTCATATAGCAAACGGTATTTCAGAGATTTAATCGGCTTTGTTGAAATGAAATATCTGTAAAGTATTCATAAAAAGACAATGAACGTTTCTTGATTGTTCTATAATTTTTAATAAAAGAGCGAAACATTCATTAATTATTGTTATGGTTTATCAAGTTAAGTTATAGTTTATATACCCTATTTAGTACGAAGATATGTAAAAATATATATATTTCATTGATATATTAGTATCTTAAATATGGTGAAATTTATTGGTTTGTTGTGTATGATATTGTATATTTTATATGAATCAAATCGGAGTTTTTAATTGTTTTATTTTCAGGAAATTTATGATGTTTTAAAATCCTTATTTATTTAAATG